TCGACCCCCGCCTTAGATTTTTCATCGTACGCCCCTGAGTAATTATTTCATTTCATTTCATTTATTTCGCCAATTCAAACAACAATACAAAAAGAGACAGGACAGCACCCTTGTCGGTGACAGGATAAACAAAAAGCAAACTTAATTGCTGTAAACAGTTTTTTCCTTTTTCCTTTGACAAGGGCAGTAACATTAAAAACATTAAATATAAAATATAGTATTATTGTGGGTTGTTTAGTAATTTCTCTAAAAGTGTTAATTCTTGACAACATAATCCATGTAAGCTTATTCATTATGATAAAGCTCTATTATTATAGTATCTGTCGTGGACAAGTTGGAGACATTTGGAAATATGTAACTACAACAGTTTGCTCCTCACAGACAGCAGTGAAGATCAAAGGCAACTTGGCTTTGTATCCTTTATGCAATATGGTTAGAAAACAATAGTAAAGATAAATAATTTTTTAATATTTATTATTCTTTCTATAAACTGCAGGCATTTCCAATACTTGTGTACCGATTTCCAAAGTGGTACACTTTCAAACAAACCATCAAAATAGAAAAGAAGATAAACAACACACATAACAGTCTTGGGCATCATTTTTATATGGACCAAGCTCATAGGGTTTTTGTGATCTTGTCATCAGTGACATCTCCTACTAACTGTATGTATTTCTAAGGCTAATACATTCCAATTTGTTTCTTCATCCAGTCAAGAATAACATAGTACTGTATTCATTTATTTGACTGATCTTCCTATTGGCATGTAATTCTTGCACTTTTGCAGTGCTTTTTTTAAATAAATAAATAAAATATTACAAATTCCATGCTGTCTTTAGTTCAGTAACAGTTAATTTCACATCATCAAAATATTTTACAAAACAAATAAAATACGCAAGAAAAACAAATACTGTAACAACAAATGATGATGCAAGAATGGCACATGAAAGTTTGTTTTTTTTTAAAGTAAAACTTATTTCCGATTGGGTCCTACATAAAACCAGAAACCAATTATAAACATAAAAGGACAACGATTAAAAATGGTAAAAATTCAAATATATAAAAAACATAAAATATAGACAATAGGCAACAAAACAATTATAATAAAGTTAAAGTTTGCATACATTTTACAGGCTACCATTGTTGCCAATGACAATGTTATTGTTACAATGTTAAGTGCAATGTGTTGGTCTTCAGTGGTAACTTGCTGCTATTTGTTGTACTTACCATGATTAAAAGTTTGTTTAGAAGAAACCAATTCATGTGTGGGTAAACGAGGGGGACAATATAAGCTCAGTGCCTATCTGAGGAGTTATTATGGTAAGCAAACTGGCATTCAAGAATAAGTAATTTGATTTGAAAGGTTATCCATGACAAGACCATTATGGTAAGATTATATGATAGAATACATTACCATATCAAAGTTTAAAGTAGTGTGTCTGTGGAGGAAACTGTATTTAAATTTGTTTTATAATGTTGACATTTCAACACAATTTTTCATGCATAAATTTACTGATATTTAAAATAATCTTAAAGGCATTAACATACAGTGTATCGATTTAATTTAACCATATAAATTTATTTATCTGACGTACAGTTAGTAAGTAATAGGATTTGGTTGGGTTTCATCTAAATATTTTGGTTTTGTGGTTAAGGTTGAACCCATAAAGAATAGAAGGACATGATACTAAGGAAATTTCATTATCTTCATTTCAAGGTAGTTCAAACATTTTAAATTACTTTAATCACTGATGCACCTTAACACATCAAAACAGGCAATACCAACACCAACCTATTTATCAAATAAAGTGTGATAAACAGAAACAGTTTTCTGAATATAAAGTTAAACTGTTAAAAAAGAGGAAATCCCTGATTTCACATTTGAAAGATGTTACAAGAGATGAGGAGCGTATTAAAAGAGATGTTATCAGACTTCAGAGAGAAATTGTAATTGCTGGTAAGTACTGTATCTTACACTTTAACCATACAAGATGATGTCATTGTGTACTTGCATTTTAGAAGTACCCTATTTCCAAAATTTTAGGTTTTCAATGGATGTGAAAATAGTTGAATAATATATTAAGTTTTAAGATAGTATAATACATACTCCAAGTATCGAAATGCACGCCATCGTGTCAGGATTCAGTATTTCGACATTAATTATGTCATCATCAGGAATGAGATTAATCAGTGGACCTTTTGATATTAAGTTTTGCATCTGGATTTGCGAATTTTCCAAAATAGGCAGAGCTATTGAGACTTTTGGGTTCGCGCAAGGCGCTGACCCCAGAGCCTCACTGCTGTTCTTGTTCTTGTTACTAAAACTTTTAAAATGTCCAGCATCGCCAGTTTTTTAACGAATGTGCAGGAAATTTTTGAACGGACGAGCAGGAAATTTTGTTGCTGTTGATAATAGTGATTGTTGTTTACCATAATGGCTGGTGTATTAACGTGAGTGCTGGTTGCTGTTGATAATTGTGATTGTTGTTACCATATGGTTGGTGTATAACATGAGTGCTGGTTGCTGTTGATAATTGTGATTGTTGTTACCATATGGTTGGTGTATTAACGTGAGTGCTGGTTGCTGTTGATAATTTTGATTGTTGTTACCATATAGTTGGTGTATTAGCATGAGTGCTGGTTGCTGTTGATAATATTGATTGTTGTTACCATACTGTATGGTTGGTGTATTAACGCGAGTGCTGGTTGCTGTTGATAATTGTGATTGTTGTTACCATAATGGTTGGTGTATTGACATGAGTGCTGGTTGCTGTTGATAATTGTGATTGTTGTTACCATATGGTTGGTGTATTAAAGTCAGTGCTGGTTGCTGTTGATAATTGTGAGCTGTCGTGACAAAATGAGTCTTGTCGTATGAAAAATGAAAAATGAGTTATTGATATATTTAGATAGATGAAGATATAAGCTTTATTTTG